AACTGAAAAGAAGGCAGAGGAGGCTGGGGCATGCTGAAAGAGAGGTCATGGGTAGGACATATGATTAGACTGAGGTCATCTGGGTAATACAGGGTAATGTCTCCATCTCAAGGCCCTTGATTTAATCATGTTTGCAAAGTCCTTTTTGCCATGTAAGGTAACATATTCCAGGTTATGGAAAGCACACCATAAACATTTTGGGAGGGTATTATTCTGCCCACTGCAGTATCTCGCTCATCCTCTTATCTTCCTCTCACTCCATTGCTACATTTCTGTTCACCTATCTATCTACCTATTTGGATTTGACCATGGATCTACTAACTTTGTCACCTGGCCACAAAGTATCTCCCTTCTTACCCCTTTATCAAGTATCAACAAGTTATTTATCAACCTATCATTCCTCCATGGCTTTCATCATTCAATCTGATAATTGTATGATCCCCCAGCCATGGGTCCAATAAACTAATTTTTAAACTCAATCTATCATTTAATAGTCCTCTGTACGTGATGAATTATCAGTCATCTAGCTCCATATTTTTATATGTGTCACATATGTGGACATTCCTTCTAAACACCTACAAATAAATTGAATAAATATTCATGACTGCTTGCCATGTGCCCAATTCTATGTCATGTGTGGGTGATATATAGGGTTGTTCATACCCCTGGTAACCATATTGGGCCCTTTTTCATCATTGTCATCATCGCTGTCGATGCCATCACTGCCAACCTATGCACACTGTCCAGTTTTGTTATCAACGTAGGGATCGTTTTTATATGGACTTACCAGCCAAATCCAGGCTGTTCTAGTCTGCCTTTTGCTCACTAGCCATCCTGTGTATAAATAATGCAGACCCATTTTAACTTGATCTCAGATAAAGTGTAGGTAGAAAACTGTATCTGCTGGGCAAGCATCTTATGCCTCGAATAACAAATCCTAAAGTTAAATGGAAATTATTTTTAGGTTGTCTAGGCAAATAGCACAGAGGATGGGGACTCTAGAGAGGCTACATTAGGTGTATCTGGACACATGCAGACACGCAACACACACGTACACATGAGCATGGGTACACACAAATGCACACATGCACACAGTCTTTCTTCTGCTCCCACATAGTGAATCCTTCCTGGCTCATTCACACCTTGTGAGTATGTGCACACACATGGCCAAAGTGGACACTTGAACACTGATTCATGCCCTAACCCATCTTGTTTCCAATCTAGGAATCTCACCTCCCTACCTGAGCTGTGAGGTTTTCCAGAGCAAGAATGGTACCTGCTGTTCCTTGGGCATGCCCTCCCAGCCTGGACAGCCAGCAGACTAGACACTTAAGAGCTGTGTGCCTTTCCTTGAATTCTAAGGGCAGCTGGGGATCAGAAAAGTAAGCAGCTAGATGCCCAATGACAGAGGGTCTTCAGGGAAGTCCCTTCTGCCCCTTAGGAATCTGCCTCTCTTGCCCCAGCTAGATGCCAGTGTCTACAGGCTTTCCTTCTTCTGTAGAACTTTCCTAGAGCCTAGAGGAACTGTATTAGGTGGATAATCTGCCTGGAGCTGGCCTAGCTGGGGATCAGCTTGACAAGAATTCCCTTGTTTCCAAGCATGTCCATTGCACAGGCATCCAGGGCCAATTCCTGTCCAAGTCTCTCCCCAGGGCCCTGGCTGGAGATCTAGTACATTTTGAAGGAGGTTGCCACCTGCCAGAGCTGCAGGTCCTGGATGTCCACCAGTTACAGTGGCTAAGGCCACCCCAGGCTCACAAGTCACTTTGTCCACAGCCATAAGGGAAGAACAGCTTGCTCACTAGTGCCTGCAGGAGGCTCCCAAGGCAACCACCTTGGACTCTGGAGCACTTCCCAGCAGTGGGAAGCTGGTCAAAGCCAGGACACCATTAACGAAGCCTTGACTGGAGTGAAGCATCTCAGGGCCAGCTGCTCTTGCTGCTTCTGGTTCCACGCTGAGGCTAGATTCTATCCACATACTTGACCCCATCCAAATCCAATTAATGCCCCTCCTCCATCCTGTGGTATCCTCAGGACAGGGACTTCATCTAACACATCTCTGTAAACTGAAGCTAGCCTAGACCAACCGTAGGAATTGTATCTGCACCTGTGCACAGCTCACACCAACATCCTGTGGGCCCAGAGCCCAAGTCCTAGCCTGAAGCAGTCTCCACTTCTGCCTCCCAGTCCAGAGCCCTCACTCAGTGGGTTTCATTAACTGTTTAGAGCCCAACAGGTAATGAATAATCCCCACATTTGTTTCCTGAGGAACCAAGCTGGGCCAGGTATCCTCAAGCCAAATGTTCTGGGAAGAAATGGTAGTCCATCTGTCAGAGGAGGGAGGCCATGATGCTCAGAAACCTCCTTTCTCACACTGATTCCCAGTCGCAGCCTGGCCCATGTTTAAGTCCCAGCAGGCCAAAGGCCAAGTGGAGCTTTTCCATGCCCCTGCTGGAGCTCAGTCTCCATGAGAAGGCTCTGGAATGAACTTAGAATCCCAGAGAGACCCTAATGCTGGGGCCCAAAGAGGGCCAAACAGGCCCCAGGCCACCAGGAGTCAGCAATGGGGCTAGACCAGAGGGCTAGACCAGAGGGCAGGCTTCCTGGACAATGCAGTCCATGGTTGGGCTGGGAAAACATGTCCTGCCACCCCCATGATTCTTTTGTCTCTGGAGAATTCTAAGCACCTATAGTAAATACAAAGGGCTTCTTAGGGCTTCCTCAACAACCATGGGGTTGACTCTTCCTCTTCATCTTCACAATTCCTACGTTAACCCTTCACCTCTTCCCAACTTCACTTCCTACACTACAACACAGGCAACTCATCAACAATTTGATGAGTATCTTTCAGGTGCTTTGTTTTCTCTATGAAATTATGTATATCTGTGTGTCTATGTTCAGATAAAAATGTAGACTTTTTAAGGTGTTTTTTAATGCAGATAAGATCTTATACATATTACCCCGAAACTTGCTTTTTGTTTTCACGTGTACAGCATAATGATCTGATATTTGTATATCCTGAAACTTGCTTTTCACTTAACACTTTTATTAGAACTTTTTCCACATCAAACACACAAAACCACACAATGCTTCTTTCTTTGCTGCCTTCTTTTTTTTTTTTTTTAATGTTTTTATTTATTTTTGAGAGAGAGAGAGAGAGTGCACTAGCAGGGGAAGGGCAGAGAGAGAAATCCCAAGCAGGATCCACACTATCAGTGCAGAGGCTGACTCAGAGCTCCAACCCATGAACTGCAAGATCATGACCTGAGCAGAAATCAGGAGTCAGATGCTTAACCAGCTAAGCCACCCAGGTGCCCCACTGCCTTCTTTTTGACTGTGGTTTATTTAGCCAGTGCTCTAGTGATGGACATTCAAGCCATTTCCAGTTTTTCTTTTTTCTTTATAAAGATTGTATTTTAGGGGCGCCTGGGTGGCTTGGTTGGTTGGGCGTCCAACTTCAGCTCGGGTCACGATCTCATGGCTTGTCGGTTTGAGCCCCATGTCGGGCTCTGTGCTCACAGCTCAGAGCCTGGAGCCTACTTTGGATTCTGTGTCTCCCTCTCCCTCTCTCCCCCTCCCCTGCTCATACTCTGTCTCTCTCTGTCTCTCAAAAATAAATAAACATTAGAAAAATAATAATAAAATAAATATTATATTTTATTAAAAAAATTTTTTTTAGTGTTTATTCACTTTTGAGAGAGAAACAGAGCGTGAGCGGGGGAGGGGCAGAGAAAGAGGTAGTCTAAGAATCCGAAGCAGGCTCCAGGCTCCGAGCTGTCAGCACAGAGCGTGAGGCAGGGCTCGAACCCATGAACCATAAGATCATGACCTGAGCTGAAGTCGGATGACCAACTGACTGAGCCACCCAGGCATCCCAAAGATTTATTTATTTTTTTTTTTTTAAGTAACCTCTACACCCAATGTGGGGCTTGAACTCATGACCCTGAGATCAAGAGTCTCATGCTCTACCGACGGAGCCAGCCAGGCGCCCCTCTAATGATATCTTAAACAGATCTTCTTGTGCCCACATCAGAGGGTCTCTCTGGGGTAGATTCCTAGAAGTAGACTGCATGTTCTCATCTCCTACTTCTAACTTGGGGCAACTGGTGGTTCTCACCTTTCATCTTCAACCAGCTTACTAGTATATTTTCCTGTACAAAGGGCAGTTCTCTCTCAGAAGGAACCCTAGAACCAGTTATTAGCATCATGTTCTATGCCCCCACTGCACTGCTGTGAACCAGACAGACACATTTCATCTCTCTGTATCATTCTCCCCCCCCCAACTCATCAAAATTTTTATCTATATGCAGGTCCATCTCCAGACCCTTCTCAACCTTTCTGTATTATTCCACCCCACAGGCTCCCCAGATAGCTTGCCCATCCTGCATATACTTAAGGATTTGTCTTCCTAAATGGGCCAAAACCCCTCTAAAATAGGATCTGAACCTGGAACTCACTGTCCTAAGATAAAGCCTTGTTTGTATAGGTGCTTGTTAAATGCATGCTATTTCTAATAAAACCAGGTTACCTCCAGCATGGCTACGAATTCATCAGTAAATCCATGGGAAGGGTCTTTGTAAGACTGCCAGATGAAGGGAGATTTGCTTCATTTATCAGAAACCCTATGGAAGGGGAACCTGGGTGGTTTAGTCGGTTAAATGTCAGACTTCAGCTCAGGTCATGATCTAGCAGTTCGTGTGTTTGAGCCCCATGTCGGGCTCTGTGCTGACACCTCAGAGCCTGGAAACTGCTTCAGATTCTGTGTATTCCTCTCTGTCTGCTCCTCCCCAGCTTGTGCTCTGCCTGTCTGTCTCTCTCTCTCTCTCTCTCAAAAATAAATAAACATAAAAAAATAGAAAGAAAGAAAGGAAGGAAGGAAGGAAGGAAGGAAGGAAGGAAGGAAGGAAGGAAG